AACGAAGCCTCGGACAACATTTTCGCTAAGGAAAAAGTTGTTCCAAATCACCTCCCGAACCACCCCTTTCAACGACTTCCAACATTTTTGGAACAGTCTGTATACGTGTTTTAGGTACATAATAATCCAAATTGTCCTATGCTAGATAAATTTTGAAATATAGTATAATTTTCCCTCTAAAGAAAATTCATATCCCCCTATCATTCTAAGCATTGTTCAAATACTTTTATACCACGTCTATTTCGCTAGAAAAAAATTGCAAAAAATGTTTTCAACGTTCTGTAACACCTCTACACGCGCTCTATTATTTACGATACATACTCCAATATTTACTTAAACCGCATCTTGCCCCTCTCGTTCAGATTCACTTCCGCATCTGGCACATATGCTTCCTGTGAATCGGTCAATGTTAGATCCACCTTAATCCGTGAAAACATCCCGCGAAAGAAGCGAACTGCAATTTATTCGGCCACGGAACAACAAGGAAGTCGTATCTCCCACGCAGGCTCTTCCTCCTCCCCTACCGATCCTCCCTTTTCGTCCCGAAAACGCCCCTTCGGGAATAAATCATCGTAGCAGGCGCCAGGACACATTGGTCTGGCTGTGATCCTGCGAAAATAAGATGCACGTGTCCGTGGCCAGGTCTCTGGTCCATATCTGGATTTAAATTCGATGTCTCGTCGATTAGGGATTTTCGTGTTAAAGTTGTCTCGATATTGGCACCCATGGTAATCTAGTGATTAATTTTGTTGTCAAGGTGTGCTTTCAATTCGCGAAGTAATCCTGCAAATATAGGGCTCTGTAAATTATTCACCTTCTTTCTTTTACATCTTTCATTTAACACCACCGACAAGCTATGATTTGGTTTATTTGCTCCACCCTGTATAATAGTTAATTATATACATTCCATTTCCTGGCGCGGGAGGAGCTACGATTGCAGGGGACCGTTCATCCGCGTCACGAAAATAATTAACTCGTGGGGACGACCTCATTACGCCGCTTAATTAGCCGCCACTGGTATCCGAGTTTCTTCTCAAAGCTAGAGGGCGTGAAGAACTTAACCGAATCGGCCACCGAATTATGCCGTCGTCTCTTAAAAGAAATTTCTTTGATATTTTCCAGACAACAGTTAATTAAGTTATACACTAACTATCGTTTTTTTTTTTTATTTTTCATTTAATAATGCATCAAGGTGTGTCGAATATCAAAGGTTGCGAATCAAAAGTTGCAGTAGTCACCTTATTGGCACATTTTTATATTAGCCATCGAAGCTACAACTGCTATAACTTTAAAATAAAATTGACCGAAATATACAGTTTTGTTTACAATCATTTAACTTTGCTAAAAATTGTTTGACATTTCTCGGATACGTATGAAAATTTCCTCTGGCACTCGAAGAGTTAGTATACATTTACAAAAAATATAAAGGTCTCATTTGAAAATCGTGTAAAAGAAGATTACGTGTGTTATTGTTTTCCTAAATTATGTGTAATTTATGCCCGAGTAGTGGTCAATACTAATAAGAAGGTTTTCCCAAAAGGAGTCGTAGGATTTTATATTTTTAATAACAATCCATGCATTCCCATACCATTCGCGTCTTATTAGAAAACAAATTCCGAAAGTCCCTTCTGCAAAGTATTCCATAAAAGCTCATTTATGGGCACTATTATCCTAGTAACGAAGTATAAGTGTTGTGAAATGGTTACAAACTAAGGAAAACTCTCATATTTTGTTTATACGATTTAATGTAAATCAATTTTGTACAACCTTGTGGTGCTACGAGCAGCTAAGTTTGCTCGCACCTTAAATAAACAAGTAAAAGTAAAAAAAAAACCTAGCAACACCACCAGCTTCTGAATTACCTGTGGCGCCACCTATCCTCGTAGCGCCAATAGTTCACGTGCTAGCCGCACGCTGAAACCATCCACGATTCCATTTCCCACCACTTTTCCCATAGAGCACCGGCTCCCTCTACAAACTAGCCCGGTCATACCTGAAGTTGCAGAATGGCAAAACAGCGAGATTTCGTCAGTTTCTATTTCTATCCGTCACCATATTGAATTCGCCATATCGGTTCCGCCATGTTGAATTTAATATTTCCAATTTTGTACTTGGAATTAGTAGCCTATAAACTCCTTACATTCTAAATTTCAGCTGAAGGGAGTATGAATCTATTTTATTTTGAATATTCTTTTCGCCATTTTGGATCCACCATATTGAATACGCCATATTGGTTCCACCATGTTGAATTTAATATTTCCAACGTAGTACTTGGAATTAGTAGCCTATAAACTCCCTACATACTAAATTTCAGCTGAATGGAGTATGAATGCATTTTATTTTGAATATTCTTTTCGCTATATTGGATCCACCATATTGAATTCGCCATATTGGTTCCGCCATGTTGAATTTAATATTTCCAACGTTGTACTTGGAATTAGTAGCCTATAAACCCCCTACATTCTAAATTTCAGCTGAAGGGACTATGAATACATTTTCTTTTGAATATTCCTTTCGCCATTTTCGATCCACCATATTGAATACGTCATATTAGTTCCGCCATGTTGAATTTAATATTTCCAACTTTATACTTATAATTAGTAGCCTATAAACTCCCTACATACTAAATTTCAGCTGAAGGGAGTATGAATCCATTTTCTTTTCAATATTCTTTTCGCCATATTGGATCCACCATATTGGTTCCGCCATCTTGAGTATAATATTTCCAACTTTGTACTTATAATTAGTAGCCTATAAACTCCCTACATACTAAATTTCAGCTTCCACCTCGTACAGATAAGAATCCATCCACCTTTGGAGGTTACCCGGTCATACCTGAAGTTGCAGAATGGCAAAACCGCGAGATTTCGTCAGTTTCTATTTCTATCCGCATCTATCGGCGTCCGAGCATTACCGTCAGGGTGATTTCCTCGCCGGTGTATTTACCTACGTCCCGTTGGAGTGGCAGAGCGGTTTACTGCCGGCGTGAAATGGTCTCCCGTGCTCGCATAAGTGCCCTGCCATTGAATTGCCTCTACACAGATATATATATATATATATATATATATATACGTCAGAACAGGGCGGGGTGTTGCGCGGGGAGTGCAAGTCGTTGCCACTAACGACGGCCGATTCATCATCCGAGGGAAAACGAAAGGAGTGACAGAAATTGCGGTGATTTAGTAGGAAAAGACAGAGAACAGATGTTAAGTCTACCAGCCCTTTCAGCTATCTCATTCCCACTCCTCGCGTTCCCTCCTTTCTTCAACCTTCATCCAATTCCGCTTTCAAGTAGGACGCGGGAGTTACCTTCCGTTTAGCCAAGAGAATAAGCAACCACCAATGTTATCAGTTTCAAGAGAATTTGTTAGATTTTTGAATATTCAATCCGCCATTTTGGGTTAGCCATTTTGGATTTGGTATTTTAGATTTCGAATTCGCAATCAGAGACCCCAAAAATCCTTAA